AAAGAAAGAAAGAAAAAAAAAGATTATAAAATAAATAAAAAATAATAATAAAAAAAGGGGGAAAAAAGAAAAAGAAATCTATCTTTCCTTCCCTTATATTTTTATTTTGGTTTCATTCTGTATTGTAAGCCGCCCGGAGTCCTACGGGATTGGGCGGCCTATAAATGTTATTAAATTTAAATTCAAAACTTTAGAATGGACATAATGTGGATGTCACGATTGTCAATAAGTACTAAAGTCACCTATTATATTACTTCAAGCTCATGAACTCCTTTCTTTAAAAAAAGAAACTGGGATTCTTATCTTAGAAAGATAGAAACGTAAGAAAAGTGAGAGCAGAAAAAAAAACCTAGTGATCCCACTGAGCCTGCTGCCCTTTTGAGTTTATTATTTTATATTTTTGTGTCCTCAACACAAGATGGGCATAAAAGAATCCATCCTCTGCCAATCTCTGCATTTTCCTTTTTTTAATTCCCTGCTGGTGGAATGAATATCCAGTTTTATTTTGTAAAATCAAGCAAGCGCTGACCCAAAACTTTCCCCTTGCTGCAGCCCATGATGATGATGATGATGATGATGATGATAAAGGTATATTACTTTGCAGGAGATTTCACAATTCCTGGGTCACTTTGCTTCCACGGATTAAATTAACAGGCATAATAAAAAACAGGTACAGCGAAAAGCATCCGCAGGGAGGAAAAACCAGAGAGAAGAAGTAATAACAGACCATCCTCGGGAGCTGGGAGGCATTTGTGCCACTCACATCCTTCCTTTCAAGGCGCCTGTTCATTTTAGTCATTTAAATCAATGGTCTTCAATCTTGGCCACTTTAAGACCTGTGGACTTCAACTCCCAGAGTTCCTCAGCCAGCTCCAACCTTGGCCACTTTTAAGACCTGTGGACTTCAACTCCCAGAGTTCCTTAGCCAGCTCCAACCTTGGCCACTTTAAGACCTGTGGACTTCAACTCCCAGAGTTCCTCAGCCAGTCTCCAACCTTGGCCACTTTAAGACCTGTGGACTTCAACTCCCAGAGTTCCTCAGCCAGCAAAGCTGGCTGAGGAACTCTG